GCAAGGTGATTTTGCATGGTAATGATTAAAAAAATGTCCCTGAATTTTTTTTTTTCATTTTCCATACTTGCAATATTGACAGAAGTTTAATTTTTTTGTCTTATTGTTCTCCTTACCCATCATATTCCTCTTTTTTATGTTTTGGCAACACATTTGTCTTAGTTCTTTTAATTTTAACACTTTCAATGAATGTGTGAGAAATAAAAAACTAGAGAAAAAACAAATTAAAAATTAAAATCACCCCAGCATGTTTACTGCCAAAAGATGATTCAGACAAAAATAAATAAATCACCTAATAAAAAATGACCATTATTTTAGGAAGGTGACGGTGTATTCGGCCTGTACAGTGCGTTTGTATGAGCTGGTTTATTTTGACACTTTCAGTGTATGATAAAAGAAAAAATTAAGGAAAAAAAGAAAGACCCTATCCCCCAGAGCATCACTTGATGGCTCAACCTCAGCGTGGCACTCAAAGACCTGCTGTTTAAATACCGTGCTTATTTGGCGCCCCTGTGGTGGACAATTCAAACTTGTCCACCAACTTGTGCCGTCATTTTCAAAACTTGCTGCAACCTGCTGAGACCTTGAATGAATCAATCTGATAATATAACTGCGTCAACATCCAGCCCAGTATTTCTTGCACCAGTCCCACCTGAACGTGCCAGAGGTGAATCCTCCCTTCTTCCCCGGCAGGCAGCGGTATGTTCCGATCACCTGCACCCTGTCTCCTGGTTTGACCACGTCCACCAGGTCGTTGTCCAGGATGATGTCCACGGAGCGAGGCAGCTGGCCTGCCGGCGCTTTCTCCGGCATCTCCTGCACCGTGATGGTCTGGTGGTCCTTGTAGATGGACAGGCCGAATTCCGTCTCTAGAGGGTTGTTCTCCTCATCCTGTCAGAATATTCACAATGAATATTTGGCGGGTTTTCACCGCAACGCTTCAGAAGGGACCTCCTTCGAGTGCGTACCTTAGTGGGGTAAATAGCGCTGGAGGGGAAGGCGTCCAAAGAGGTCATGTCTGTGTACTTCCTCTCCATCGTCTTCTTGGTGGCGGGACAGTAGTGGACGCTGCGCACCACTTTGGGACGAACCAGGGAACCTGGAATGTTCACGCAAAGAATGAATACACATAGAAATCTGCAGGAACTTGCACAGACGGACACTAGGTGGCGCTAATGCAAAAGGGAAATAATTTTGCCATTTACTTAATCTTAAGAATTTAGCAAAATGACTTTTAAGGGGCAGTATTATTTAGAACTTTTGTGAGCTTTAAATGATGCTGTAATGTCATTCCGTCATCAAAATCACACTATCAGTGTTGTCCTGATTCTTTTCGCATGTTTGGGAAATCCTTCAATCTCCCGTGACAACCACTCAGCGGTTCAAAGAGCTCGGTTGGAACTAGCACTGCCTTCAAGGACACCAACACATATAAGTAAGTACCTAAAGGTATTCCATTTCAAATTCATCAAATTGTAACCATCGCTTTAATTTGGATAATCTACTTTTTAAATGAAAGATAAGACCAAGGTTCGCATTTTCTTGTGCCAGCAGTCCCCACTGGAAATCGGAACGGCGAAACTCACACTTGGTGATGATGCCCTCCACACACACTATGCTGCCCAGCAGGCGGGAGGTCAGGGTTCGTGGGGAGACGTGCTTGGAGCCGAAGCTCCCCTCCAGGCCAATGAAGAACTCCTCGTGCTGCTTGGCGTAGGTCCCATCCACCGAGGCCACCAGGTCCTTCAGGGCCCGCTGGAACGCCAGCAGCTCCTCAAACGCGTTGCTCATCAGTCTGAGGGACAGGAAGAGAGATTAGACCACTATGTTAAGACAGAAAAACTACAAACGTTTTTATTGTGTAAAACAAATCAGGCACAGTCGGATAGCGTGTCAGCCATTTGTGAAGATACATTTCCAAGTCTTGCCAACTGGATTTAGGTCTAGACTTCGAGTAGTCCATTCAAACACATAAATACACTTATCTAAACCTTTCCATTTTGTGGGTGTCTAAGGTTGTTATCCTGCTGGAAGGTAAAACCACCAAGCTAACTCTGGCTATGTTGCTTGTTCCCTTAGAAGAGAAGCATCCCTTCAGCATGATGTTGCCAACACCATGTTTCATAATAAGGTAGGGAGCCAACACACAACAGCCATATTTAAAATACACCAGTTGGGTCGACCAACTAAATGACTCAAGATGGCAACTGGTTGCGTTGCTCAGAGGTAATCCAATTTAATCTTAAGAGTCTTTACTTGTCAAATATCTTTTTAAACAATCACTTTAAGCTAATGCAACTAGTCGTATATTAGTTTATGTTGGTCCAGAGAGTAGTTGTGACGACATAAAGTGTGGAAAAGTTCAATAGTTGCGGCTAATTTTCCAAAGCAGGGTAATTACAGTGTTGTTTTCGTCCACAAGAGGCAGTAGAGAGCTACCTCCTTGAATACACTGATCTAAAAAGCTATTTACTTCCCCTGAGAGATGCTTTTAATTGGTGTAAAAGCCTCAGATCATTTCATGTTTTAGTTATTAGCATTCAGAATCGGTATTTCTAAATACCGGTGCTCGTAATCCTGTGTGTCTTACTTAGCAGCCCGGGTCTCGTTGCGCCTCCTCAGGTCGTTGATGTTCACGATGAGCCGGGCTTTATTCTCACTGATCATATCCCGGACTTTGCTTTGGTAAATGCCTTGGTCTTGCTGCGATTTGAAGAAAATAATAACAATAATTTTTAAAAACACCACACCCGGAAGTTAACGTTTGATGAAACAGTGACATCATTGTATAATGAAACTAAAATAAAATAAAATGCGCATTAACGTTTGCATCAACTTCAACAAGATTATAAGAACTGCTGTTACTTTTAAGCTGATAAATGTATTCTTTGTTTTCTATTTTCCAAATCATTAGATTAAATAATTAGACCACATGCTTTTTCATAACTACACATGACTGTCCTTTGTTGTTGATGTTTTTTAACCGGACAAAAGCGTTACTCACATCGTCGTCCAGAAAGTCCAGGTAGTCCCTCTGTGCTTCCCTCATCTCCTGGTCATCTGCTGTATCGGTTGCCATTTTTATCCGATTAGTTACTTTCTTCTAAAAAGCCGCTAAAGTCTCGGAGCTGCTCTTCCCCGCTGCTGCTTTACCACACGACCGACTGAAAGCTTTTCGCGCCACTGCGTCCCGCGAGCGAATGAAGCGTGATACGCGATTGGTCCGACGCGAAACGTGCTGTTTGCATACTCGGCGGGTCGACGTGAAGCTGTCCAATAGAATGCTCCGGTTGAAGCGTGACTCCGCCCTCGCGGAGAAGAACCGCGAAAACGAGAAGGAAGAGGCGGGGCCGTTAGTGCTCGAGGAAACGACACGATGAGTGTGCGTTTTTAATTTTGTCCAGGAGATGGCGACAAAAAAACTTTTTTCATCTATCACAACTCAACACTGAGACAAAACTAGCCGTATAGACTATATGAATTTACTGGAGAGCAAGACAGTGGAATAAGCGTCACTACATCCTCGCAGGTCCCGATGCCGGGACCTTTACTACCTCTGTCCCTTTGTCTAAATACCGCAAATAAAGGCAACTACTGCCACAAAATTTACCGAATCCAATGTGACTGAGCTTGAGCTATTTTGGAAAGTGAATACATACGCCACACTAAACATTTTTTTTTTCCAAAGAATTTTAAAACCATTTTTAATTTCCTTATACTCTTCAATTATTCTCTACTTTGTGTTAGTCGAAAAATACCACAAAAAGATAACTAAAAAGAGAAGTTTTGAAAACAAGTATTTAATCTGTTTTTAGTTATGTTCCATAGAAAAATAGCAAATTAAAAGAATTTAGCATTTCAATACATTAGAATACTTCATATGTATTTCTTTCAGTAATTAAGTTAAAAAAAATTAAACTTACATATTAACCAGATTTATTACATACATGATTCAGGTTTTTATTTAATTTCCTTTGAGTTATTGGAGCAGAGCTTGCTCCCTTTTTGTTATGCAGCCATGTTATAACATTTGTTTATTAAAACTCATTTGTTATTGACCTGGTGGAATTTTCTAAATTCTCTGAGAAACCGAATTTCAGTTTGTATTATTATTATTATTATTATTATTATTAGTAGTAGTAGTAGTAGTAGTAGTAGTAGTAGTAGTAGTCATCAAATTGAGCAGAAATAAACACTTGAAATGTATCACACACTCTATGGAATGAATCAATGGAATAAAAAAAAATCTTACCAAGAATTTTTGTCTAGTTTCTAGTGCAAATATGACTTGAAATAAGACAAAAAGTTTGTTTTAACTTAATAATTCTTGAGTATAGATTTTTAAAAAAGAAGAAGAACTAGTTTCACAGGCATATTCATCTCCCACTTATAACAAGACATTTTTCGTGTTTTAAGTGAAAAATCTGACAGCGGAGCAACTACGTTTTATAAATATTCAAGAAAGAAACTAACATTTCTCTTGCTGAAAAGCTACTGTTACGTTATTTGTGTCTGTCTTATGTCAAGTGTATTTGATTTAGACTAAAATAGTGGAGGAGCTACATTTTTTAATGTTTTGACATATTTAAATGTAAGAACAAATCAAATAACTTAAATTAAAAATAAAGCATTTTTAACATATGATTTTTGAATTTGGAAACGCGTTGTATTAACTTTTGGCAGTTAAAGCTCCCCTCAGGGCGTTCCTGGTCAGTCAAACCCCGCCCACACCTCCAGCTCTCCGGGGCTGTCGCTTCGGGTCAACCGCTGGGCTTTTCTGCCGGTTCCCTCCCGAATGAGACCTCCTCCTCAGCTCAACATGAAGGAGTCGTCTGGACGTGCCGGGCAGCGTTAACGGGCCTGTTCCCCACCGGCTGCTTGAAGGGACGCGAGAGTTCGGGAGAGCACCAAGTGTCCGTCCTGTTCGGCAGCTGCAGGTAAAAAGTTGTTCCTTCTCCTCCTCAAGACCGCTTTATTTTTTTCTAACACAGATGACACCGCTATGGAAGCGATGTTTTCATGGACAACAAGTCCAACATTAAACTTTCTTCTTGTGTACGATTATAGACATGTACTTATTTTAATATCAATGAGGTCAACAAAATCAACCGGCATTGAAGAGAACACGTGTAGTCTTAAAAATAACACACTTTTAAAAGCAAATTTCTCACGTAATTTGTGAATCCTCCATATATTCTCTGTTTTTTTTTAATTAAGTCTCAAGGTCAGATATATACTGTTCAGATTGTGTTGCCAAACAATTCAGAAGTAGAGGTGATGGCACACCCTTGAACAAGAGCAACAGCTCCATTCACAATGTAGCCAATGACAACATTGGCGTTGGCTTGGATTCCTTTCATTAGCTGTCATTAGAGGTGGTGATTCTTGCAAGTCGGGCCACATACCTCAGCTACTGTTGGGGACACATGCAGGCGACTGTCTTCACCTTTGTTTGGACAGGGCACAACACCATGTGGATTAGACGTGCATCTACTAGAGGAATTTTAAGGACGGACAGCAGGTAAGGTGAGGCGAACTGTATTTGTATAGCAATTTTCACTGGATAAAACAACATGGTGGTTAACCGCAAATCAACCATAAAACATAACGGATATCTAACATATCTCTAACTGACCTACCTCGTCTGGTTTTAGAACAAGTTCATGGAACCGTTAAAAGCCTTTGGCCAGACGATCTCAAACCACAAGAAGGGGAATATGGCTCTAACGGGTCGGTGATGTAGCTTGACCACACAAGGCTTTGAAAGTAAAGATGGAAAATTAAAAATGAATTCTAAAATGTACCGGTAGACGATCTAAAGATGTCAAAAGACAACACGAGAAGAAACAAAAGCGTCAGTTATCATTTCTAATCCAACTTTGCACGCCAAAGTTCAAAGCTTTGAAATAGTTCTTTGCTGAAAGAAGTAGTTTCTGGTTCAACCTCGAGAGTGGAACTCCAATGACAAGGTGGAATCAAAGATGATGCCAAGGTTGGGTGTGATGGAGGAGGTCAGTACACCAAGAAATTGTCTGATTTCAAATATTTAGTTCTCAGATGAGATAAATGTTTCTATACGTTTGACATGACTGACGCAGTTTATTAAACAGGACAAATTTAGATATTCAGGAGACTTAAAAGAGCAACGGACCTGAATATCATCAGCATATAAATGGTGAGACACATCAGGGAACTGCCTGATTATCTTGCCGAAGGTAAAAATGTATAAAAGAAAGAGAAGATGTTCCAAAACTGAGCCCTGTGGTACCACACAAGAAAGTTCTTTCAGGAAGGTAGGATTTAAACCGTTCGAGCCATATCAGATAGGCTATGTGACGTAGTTGGACAATCAATTGAGATACTGTGATCAACATTGACAAAGAAGAATTATTTCTAACAAAATTTTGTTCTATGTTCAGACCAAACAATAAAGCTGAATCCTTTTGTGTTCATAGTTATAAAATGAACTAGTTCTCAATCATTCATCACTTTTTACAAAAAAAATATAGAGATCAGGGTGTCATGCATCAGTTAGCATATTGATGATGTCATCATGTACACGCTTCTAGATATGAAAACACACTCCACTGTCCCCATGCTCTCACTTTTGAGGGTAAGTAACACTAAATTGAGCACTGTTCTCACTTCTAAGTTCTTTCCTGTATCAAAACATTAAGTTCAAAGGTCTCCATAAAATTGATGCCACTCATGATTGTGCTCCTTTGAAAAAACAAAATTTAAATTAGCTTAACAGAAACTGTCTTATGTACAAAATATTCATTACATAGCATCCAGGGTGCTAAACGGCGTAGAATCCAGAAATCCTTTACTAACTCTTTTTCCTTCATCCACAGGGTTACGGTAACAATCAGAAGTCATGTCGGCTGACATCCTGCAGGGGTTCAGCACTTTGACGCTGAGCGTCAAGCAACTCAGCCGACTCCTTCGCCTCTCTAACCTCCTCCCTTCCTCCCTGCCGTCACCTTGCCCCACCGTTGCTGCCTCCCAGGTCCCCGCTCTGTTCCGAGAGCCCTACATCCTGTCGGGCTACCGCCCCATCCAGCAAGACTGGCGCTGCTACCTCCTGAGCCTCTTCCAGCGGCACAACGAAACCCTGAATGTGTGGACTCACTTGCTCGCAGCTCCAGCATTGCTGCTTCTCTGGTGGGCCAACGTGGGTGCCCTGGGGTACACCTTGGATGCAGCCTCCCTACCTCTCGTCCTCTTCATGGTGTCTTCTCTCACATATCTGTGCCTCAGCGTGGCAGCTCACCTCCTGCAGTCTCATTCCGAGCGTGCGCACTACTACTTCTTCTTTTTGGACTACGTGGGTGTGGCGGTATACCAGTATGGCTGCTCACTCGGCCATTACTTCTACTCCTCTGAGCCAGCGTGGAGAGACAGTATTGGGATGATGTTTCTGCCCGGTGCTGCCTTCTTTGGGTGGCTCTCCTGCGCCGGCTGCTGTTTTGCGAAGGCCAGGTACAGGCGGCCGTATCCACTGCAGCGTAAAATCTGCCAGCTGATCCCCACCAGCCTCGCCTACGTGCTAGATATTAGCCCCATAGCCCACCGTCTGCTCACCGTCCCCTGGTCACAGGAGGCCTCCCTCCCCTTTCACGCCCTGCAGATTGGCTCATTCATTTTGGCTGCCTTCTTCTTCTCCTGTCCAATTCCGGAGCGTTTTTTTCCCGGTCGCTGTGACTTTGTGGGCCAGGGTCATCAGGTGTTCCACCTGTTCCTGTCCCTGTGCACCGTGTTCCAGCTGGAGGCTTTGTTTCTGGACTACGCCAGGCGACGGGACGCAGTGCTGGATGTGTTTGGAGAACGGCAGCTGTGGTGGGCTTGTGTGTCCTTCCCCTGTCTCTTCATGTGTTGCATCCTCACAGCTCTTATAGCCATGAGGCACATGAACAAAATACTTCAACATGTAGAGAAGAAAAAGTGACAATCTTTTTTGCGTGTGCAGAAAGAGCCCTAGGCTCAGTGATTTCTACGAGTATTCAATCGGATGTAACTTTTAATTTATGTATTTAACAGCCTGTGTCTCTGAAGAGTGTGATTACTTTTAATATCTAAACAATAAAGCCAGCTTTAACGGAATCTGTGCTGGTCCATTTATCGGGTCATCTGAAAATTCCTGAAGGGTTTAATTAGTGAAAGAAATGCTTGGCTCAGTGTACCTCATAGTTAGCTAAGTATGGCTCAGCCAAATTTTCAACAGTGGACAATGCTCCCACTGAAATGGTTCTTGTACCAGATTGACCTAACCCCAAAAATAACTTAGATTCATATGCACATTCACTTGAAACCAGATGTTTACTTACACTGAATAAAAAGACACATCCACTTTTTTTCCCTCACTGTCTGAAGTTAAATCGGATCAACTTTTGGTCTGATTTAAGTTAAAATTTGGAAGATTATTTGGCTGGATGCTAAAGGTCATTGCCCATTTGGAAGACCAATGTCCACCCATTCTTTTACTTCCTGGTTGACGTCTTTCAATGTTGCATTAATATCTCAAAATAATGTTCCTTTCTCATGACGCCATCTGTGATTTGGTCCATGATATAAAAGCACCAGGTCCTCCTGCAGCCGTTGTGATGTTGTTCCAAGGCTTATAAGGGAGTTACATCGTTACTTTTTTCCCCAAATGTAACAAAGGTCATCATGGCCAAACAGTTCCACTTTAGTTTCTTCGCCTTGCATAGAGGGGTGTGTTCCTTTCCAGATCAAGTCCAGTCAACTATATGTACCACAGGTGGATTCCATTTAAGTTGTGGAAACATGTATTTTGAACTTCTCTGGCAAATCCCTTGAATACTTATGTAAATGTTAATTCTTGGTTGAGTTTTGCAAAACACACAAAACAATTATACATTGTCATAGTGTTGCACTTAAGTGTTGAATTTTGAGGAAAGAAATTGAATTTAAAACAACTTGGAATAACGCTACAACATTAAAAGTGCAAAAAAGTGAAGCGTTGAGAGTACTTTCCATTTGCACTGCATATTTGGTAAATCATGTCTGTCTTTATCCTCTCTGAAGACCCAATGATGACATATGTTAAGTCTATCACTTCAAAAACACAAAATCTTACCAAGTATTTTTGTCTAGTTTCTAGTGCAAATAACTTAGTGCACTTGGAAAAAAGACAAAACTAACTTACAAGTAACTTTTCAGCAAGAAACAGGAGCTTGATTCAAGTACATAATTCCTTAATTAGGATGAAAAAGTACTTATGGGAAAAATGTCTTTTGATAAGTGAAATAATCTGCAAATGGAACAAGTACTTTTTCCTCAATATTAAGGAATTGACTTAAAATAAGCTTCTATATCTCGCTGAAAAGTTACTTGTAAGTTAGTTTTGTCTCATTTCAATTTGGGTCCTCTCGTGACAGAGGTGTCAAACTCCAGTCCTCAAGGGCCGCTGTCCTGCAACTTTTAGATGTGCCTCTGCTGCACCACACCTGAAAAGAATAACTAGGTCATTAGCAAGGCTCAGGAGAACCAATCTACACAGGGAGGAGGTAATTAAGCCATTTCATTCCACTGTTTTTTACCTGTGGCACATCTAAACACTGCAGGACAGCGGCCCTTGAGGACTGGAGTTTGACACCCCTGTCATTGTGAATGACAACCTGTGAACAACAGGTTAAGAGTTCTTGATTACACGCTCTGCAAGTGGGAGAGAAAATGAGCTCCACAGCTTAACAGAGCCTCCTCTATACTTGCCAATGGACATTGAGGTGCTTTTCTGTGTATTCTTTAGGTTTCACAAAAAACTCGGCTGAAAAGATCAATCAGTCTCTCACTAAAAGCAAAAGGTTCCAGCTAAAGCACCAGCAGCATTTAGCAAACTCCTGCTTTACATTTGTGTGATGGTAACGTTTGTTTTCATTCATCACTCCCAGTTTGGATTGTTGTCATGGAGACTTGGTAACCAAAAGATACCACTCTTTGCTGCAGTTCTCCAACAATGAACTGTGGAGAATCCCTGCTCACTCCATATGGTGCCAAGATAAAATGGGTTTGTGTCCAGCTTAGTGGCCGGTGGCTAAAAGGAGTGGCTGTCTGTGCCAAGCCATGTTTATACCCCAGTGAAAGAGGAAGTCATGGATTACTAAGTAGAAATTTAAAATCAACAAATAAAAACAAAGTACAACTTAAAGTGTGCTTCACTTACATTAAAGGACCCAAACAGTCAAATAAACCAGCCCTCATAGGGCAAAAGGGGTGAGTAAGGAAGAGGGGGCTTCAAGAAACTGGCTTATCCAAGTGTTTAGCATTGGCCAAACTTTTAATACTCCCTTGCTCTTGTTGCCACAAGCAGAAGAAAGTACAGAGTGAGAGAGCAAATCTGGATTATTGCGTTCAGCAAAGTGGCCAAACCAGAATCAGGGGTTTAGGTGAACAAAGGGGCTCATTTATCCTAAATGCAGACTGATTGAAGGCTCATTGGCATATCGGCACTTCAAGTAGGTGAAATGCCCGACTTGACCGGGCTTCTAAAAAATGTGTGGGCAGGAAAGGTCACCAGGGTCACGCACTTTGTTGCATTGTGCAGCAAGAAAGCAAGGCAAGTATATTCACTGCTCAGAGAATCTTGACATTCTATCATGTTACATGAACCTTGAGCGCTCATGTACTGATGTAAAACAGAGGAAGATCTTTGTTACCTTGTCAGTAAAATGGGCTGACTGGCTTTCTGTGTTGTTCTACCAGGTGTTTGCTGGGTGGGACTTTCTGTCTCTTAAGCCACCCTGACGTAGGAGCCACACCTTCAGTTCCCAATATGTGGAGTAAATTCTGCGGTGACAGGTTTCAGGGCCAACCCAGGAATCAGAACTCCTTCCAAAGACAACACCTTGATTGAGGGATGTCACTAAACTTTGTCAGTGCCGTGCATTTGATTTACAACTGAAGGCACATATGTGAAATATTCTTATTTTAAGCCTTTGTTTGACTCTTCCCCCGGGCTAAATAACTTTATAAATTCACGTGTGCAGTTGTGTAAACTTTGGAGAAAGTTTGTTGTTTCTGCTGCTTTTTTCCCCCCCAGCTAACTGGCTGTGTTAAGTTTTACCTGTGAGTATCAGATTTCACTGTGAGCAAATTCTAAGTCGCGCTTTATTAATAAATGGGTTTTTACTTGAGATTCAAAGGGTTCAGCATTAATTGAGGTTTTCCTGCAGTGGGCGAATGAACCCTGTGGATTCATGCGCCCAAGCAGTAATCCTATTTTCCTCTGCCCGGTTAAACAAAGAGAAGTTATTTGTTTGCTGGTTTCCTGTTTGCACAAATCAGGCTTTCAGGACAGCAGTCCAAATATGTGAAATTGGCCATGATTTTCCTCCATATCCTCTGTTGTGGGAGAGTGGCTGCTGATTTTCCTTTGCACACGCAGACATTGTTCAGACATCACTCAGACATGGGTTGTATCTTCAGCAGATTATATAATAGTGAAAAGATGAGTGTTTGTGAGTGTGTGTTTGTGTGTGTTTGTGTGTGTGGGGGGGAACCAGTGCACCAATAGACACAAAATCAATACACAAACATTATATTACAGCAAACATTTTGTGGTTGATTGATCACAAAACAACCACAAACTTGTGAACGTGGTTTTCATTAGTTTGGGCTAGCATATGAAAGTATCCACACCATGTTTCATTTGTTTCTGCCTCACATACACTACATTGCCAAAAATGAAGGGTCAGGACTCAGGTTCCTCTACTAGCCTGTATCTTTACAGTTCAGCTATATGCATTCAAATTATTCTTAAGGCCTTTTCTCCTGAAATTCATCCCAACTTCACTTTCTTTAGCTATGCTAATATTTGGTGAAACCTAGTCCTGCCAAAAGTCACCTCTAGCAGTGCACACTAGAATGATTAACACTGCTGCAACCTTCTTCCTGGCTCTGATTGGTTGTTTCTTAGTTGTGTTTCTGCAGATGGCAGTAGGGCCACAAGGAGGCACCAAAGGAGCTTGATGTTTTCACAGATCGTCTGTCTGATATTCTACAGTCAGGACATAGTGACAGATTTAACCAATATGTAAAAAAAAAAAATCTATATTTTATTTTATGAAAGTTACCTACTGAACTTTTACACAGTGGACTGAGGAATATGGAATCATTGAAAACATAATTGAGAGGCATATAAACAAGCGGCTTTTATCACACCAAGCACTTTGTAGTGGAGACTCTGGACGTCAAGTCAGAGTCTTGGGAATTTGTTTTCAGGTTTATGGAAGGAAGCAGGAAAAAGTGAGTGAAAGGTCAGATTTGTGTTGGTGGTATGCAGCTGGAGGCTTCTGCTTACATGACCTCTTCCTTAAGAAAAAGGAAGACTGTCTGCAGACAGGACGATTATGTATCTGGCCACTGTGTTGGTCTGTAGGGGTCTTCTTTCAAACTGGAAAACCTTCTATGTTCAATACAATTTTGGAAATTTGTTGGTTTAGTATTGCTCTCACTTTAAATGTCAAATATTGAGAATGCACATCACACCAAAAGCTTCCTTTTTAATGTTTGCCCCTCATATAAAGTCCTTCTTTGTTTTTTGTTTTTTTTGTTGTTGTTTTTTTTGGGGGGGGGGGTAGGGGCGGTTTCTACGTTGGTATGAAGAAAGTTTGATTTTTCAACTGTTTGCAGTAAGTAGAGTTCCAAAGAAAAAAAAAGACATAATCTGAATGAAAATTCAAACACGGTTGAAGAAATTCTTAAACATTTCCTTTACTAGTTTTACAGATCAGTCCTATTTGCAAAAACTCAACATAAATGTCAGAAAATCTCTATTCTGGTAACTTCTGCTGGAAGTGTCTTTTTCTGCCGAGTTAGGAAATAGCAGAAAAACGTCCACATACCTGGCATACTTGTGCAGGAGTGGCTCGGGTTATTCACTCTGCTACTGTAGTCAGATGGTATGTCACCTAATACACCCACAAACCAACTAAAAGAAAACCCTGCACACATTTATATGCAGAAGTGTCTCCCTGATCTCACCATAACACGACGTCACCTGGTATTAATCGAGACAGATGCCTGAATTCTTTAAATCGATGGACAGCGCTGAAACCGCTCTAATCCAATCAGACCCGGGT